CCCGGGCTCCTTCCTGCGCGCGTCGGGGGCGGCCGGAGCGAGGCTGGCGGGCGAGGGGCCGTGTCGTCTAGTTCGGCGGCCCCGCCCCCCACGTGGCCGCCCCGCCCCCCTGCGTGGGAACGGCGCGGGTCTCGCCGTGGTCCGCTGCGGCCGACCGGTTTGGCGGGGCGAGCGGCCGTCCAGTGCACGGCCACCCCCTTGGCACCCACAGGGCACGCGTCCCGAGACCCCACCGGGCGCCCGAGGTCCGGGCGACACCCAGCCCCGTGGGTGTGTCTTCCACTCCTGCGCGCGTCACGCTGGGCTCGAGCTTACCTGGCCCGCCAGGCGCGGCGGGGGATGAGCCGCTGCGGCTCCGAATGTCGCGACTGCAGCCATCATCCGTCGTCACACAAGTCTTAGGAACACGACCCCTCTCCGAGAATACTTTGTCGTGCTGGCCTGTTTTTGAGCCGGGTTGTTCTCGAAAGAGGGGAGTCCATATGTGCATCATTTGACTTCTTGCCAAGAATATTACGAGCCCAAACATTCAGTGATGGGTGAGCGTGCCCACGTGTGGTTTTAGGTTTTTTAAACAAATTGTTATTGCGAAAATTATTGCACGTGAATTGTGTACGTCGCTTGACTGTACCAGGTGCTGTGAACACGCGCCAAGACATGTCAGACCCTCCGGGAGCCTATGGTCTAGTAAGGGCATTTACAGTGCGGGGAGGGAGGCCAACGAGCAAATAGTTTTAAGTTAATGGAAGTGCTGTGCAGCAACCAAGAGGGTGTTGTGAAAGAGGAAACAAGATGGCGCGCGAAAGATGGGGCTACCCAATCATCACAGTCCTTACTACAAGAAAGGGATTGGCAGTCAGGGGAAACTGCCGGGGAGGGGGGGGTCCGGGGGGGGGCCCCACCTCATCCACAAGGGGAGCTGCGTAATGAACACTGGTAGACCTAGCCCTGAATTGTACCCCACATCCTCAAAATAAAAATGAATAAAAACTTTTAAGAATTATAAAGATGGGGTTACCTTGTCCCTGTAGGCCTCGAAGGAGATGACGATGAGCTAAAACCCAGGGATGAAGAGTTAGGCAAGCAGCTCAGTCTGTTCAGAATTTAAAAGGACTCTTAAAACGAAGGCAAGGAATGCGTAGGTGTGGGGGCCACCTGCAGCACAATGTATGTAGGCTCATGACCTCTGGCCCCGACCCACTGAATCCATACCTGGAGGCTCAGAGATTAGAAATTCACACTTCCAGCTCAGCTCGGTGGCTCAGCCCGTAATCCCAGCGCGTTGGGAGGCTGAGGTGAGTGGATTGCCTGACCCCGCGGGGTTCAAGACGCGTCTGGCCAACTTGGCCAGCCCTCATCTCTACAATAAATCAAAAATTAGCGGGGCGTGGTAGCATGAGCCTGTAGTTCCAGCTACTTGGAAGGATCGCCGAAGCCCAGCAGGTCGAGGCTGCGGTGGCCGGGAGTGGCCACTGCACTCCAGCCAGTCTGGGTGACAGAGTGAGACTCCAACTCAAAAAAAAAAAAAAAAATTCACACTTCAAAAAAGCTTACCAGGAGGTTTAAGTTACTGAGGCTTAAGAGGTGTTGAACATTCTAACACCTCTTAGCTACTCCTGGGTGGTATTTGTTCCTCAGACACCCTTGTTACGCTCCATGGTTAAGATACAGGAGGTCAAATGCACAGATCTCTGCGCTTTGGGAAAGTTTTTACTTTGCTCCACATTCAATACATGAAGGTATTAATAGACTTAAGTGTTTAGCTTTGACATGGCACGGGCCATAATCGTCACATACAGCATTGGACACTTAGAATCTCTCTAGGGAAAAAGTTGCATCCATTACCATTACACACATACACTACATCACCACTGAGTATCACAAAACACCGCAATGAACCATTACATCCTTTAATATCTAGGTGAGTTGTACTGAAATATCCACACATAAGTGATTAGATTTTCTTTTTCAATTCAGAACTTATAGACATTGATTTTAGAAGTGCAAAGTGTCATATAATCATAACACATTTGACTAAAGAAGAGGCAAATGGAAGTATATTGCAACGTTCTTATATTCCTTATGAAGTGGCATGGTATTAAAACTATGTAAAGGTTGCAACCACCGACCCTCTCCAAAAACACTAACTACTGCAAAGAGATACTCTAAATAAGGCAGGAAAGGAGGAAACTCAGGGGAAAAAAAGCAGTTAAAACCCAAATAACAAAGTAGTACCACAAAATATAACCAGATGTATAATGCACTACATTTAAATTCTGGGAAGTTTTATATTTAAAAATTCCCCTTACACAGTTGACAAAAGTGATTTTGAAAAAGCAGACAGGCCAGGTTTGGTGGCTCAGCCTATAATCCCAGCACTTTGGGAGTGGAGTGCCTGAGCCTGCGGAATGTCATACGGTTGGAATCATACAGGATGTAGACCCACCCGGGCAACTTGGTGAGACCTCGTCTCCACAATAAATCAAAAATTAGCCGGGCATGGTAGCGCGCACCTGTAGTTCCTGCTACTCGGAAGGCTGAGGTGGAAAGATCGCCAAAGCCCAGCAGGTCGAGGCTGCGGTGGCCGGGAGGGTGCCTTTGCACTCCAGTCTGGGCAGCACAGTGAGACTCCAACTCAAAAAAAAGAAAAAGAAAAAGCACACAAATCAAGATTTAGCTATACGCTTATGGCAAGAATGCACTTTAAATATAAAGGCATACAGGTTGCAAATGAATAGATGGAAATGCAAACAATGAGTAGACAAAAGTCAGAATTTGGTACTGGGGTTTATCAATAACAGATAATATAAGATGTGGTAGGAAATTACTGAAGATAAGAGGGACATTTTATAGTACTAAAAGATCAATTATCAGAAAGACATAACAGTAAATGTACTTGTTCTTAATAACTGAGCTTCAAAATACATGAAACAAAAATGAGCAAAAATTAGGCAAATCTTCAAACACAGGAAATTTTAAGTCCTATGTTAGCAATGAATAGAATCAGGCTGAAAAGACAAATCAGTGAAGAAACAGAGTATCTAAACAACGCTCAACTACCCTGATGTGATTGCTCTATAATGGAGCACTACCCCAGCCCCCAAAACTGTAAGACACCTTCTTTTCAAGTATGTGTGCTAACTTCAGGATAGAACATATGCTGGGTCATAAAACAAGTGCTAATAAATAGAAAAAGATTCACATGGGAAAACCAAGTGATACAGTCACTTTGGAAGATAGTTTGGAAGTTTCTTACAAAACTAAATATAGTATCCAGCAATTGTGCTTGATATTTACCCAAAAGAATTAAAAACTGTCCACAGAAATGCCTAAATGTGGAGTTTTATAGCAGCTTTATCAATAATTACCACAAAGGTCAATTTTTAGATCTTTTAGGAATCACCAAACTGTTAAAAATAATAATAATAATTACCACAACTTTCAGTCAATCAAGATGTCCTTCAGTAGGGGAAGGGCTAAACTGTGGTATATCCAGACAGTGAAATATTATTCAGTGCTTAAAAAAAAAATCAGCCATCAAATCAAGTCACAAGAAGAGAAAACTGAAGTGCATTACTAAGTGAAATTAATCTAAAAAGACTACATCCTGTATGATTCCAACCGTATGACATTCCAGAAAAGACAAGACTATGGAGAAAATAGATCTGTGGCTGTCAGGATAGGGATGGGAAGATAAATAGGAGCCCAGAGGAG